AATAAATAAATCGTCCATGTCGAGATCTTTCAAATTTAACCGAGGGTTAGTGCAAGTCCTAAGAATGGAAAAAATAATCTAAAGAGAGCCGCTCCTAATATGGATCTAATAATGTTGGAATTGGAATAATCGGATAATCAATAATCAATGAACCAGATAGCAAGCAATAAAAAAAAAGGAAAAGTTTACCAATGTCTATGTGGTTTGCTTCAGAATCATTTATGTCCTTATGATTTTTTTTCTATCACATATGCCCCTGTGGTTTGCAAAATGGTATGTTTTTTTTATCACATATGCCCCTGTGGTTTTTTTATTTTTTAGAAAGCACAGGGGCATATGTGATAAAAAAAATCACAGGAGCATAGATGATTCTGAAGCAAACCACAGGAGCATTGGTGAACTCTTCCCAAAAAAAACTATAAATGAATCCAGTAACAACTTAAGAGTCAAAAAGAACTAAAAATTTAATCAAGGGATACTGTGTCAGTTTGAGACAGCAAGTCTGGGCCAAAAATCTGGAAGTTTATGGACAGTGTAGAGATCAAACTCCACTTACTACTCATCCCTTGCTTTTTAATTGCATCTCTAATGATATCAAGTAAGGAACACATCCTTGTTCATTTTATCAAGCAAGGAGTGCTTGATATGAGAACCAACCACCCAAGTTTGAGAGAGATTTATCCCAGGAGAGAAACTATTCGCCACAGGTAAATTATGATTGCTTAAGAATATATCTCCTATTCTAGACTGTATGCTGAAGTCTAAATTTCTAAGAACTCAGGAATAAGCTTCCGAAATGAAACGTCCTATCTCCTACACAAATATGCATGAATATGTGTGACTATATGTTTGCCAGGAATTTCACATCTCGACTAAGGACAAACTTTTGGCCCTAACCAAATTGGATTCTTTGCTTTTCTATTTTCTGTTTTATTTATTTTCGTTTGAAACTAAATACAACATGAAATTTTCAATATTTCATGGTAAAAGAACATTGGCAGGAATGTAAATGAAGCACATAAAACCAAAAACAAAAAGATGTAGTGTGTTATATCCGGTCAGAATTATTTGTGTAATGCATTACTATAAATAGCATCCTTTTTTTTGAGTAAGGTTTGCTTCTCTGATTTTAAGCAGCTGTAAATTAAGGTGTTTCTTCACGGTCCAAGAATAATTCAGTTTTATGAACATCGGACATAAAGGTCCTTCACAAAAGACCAATAGGTTTGAACAGATATTTGACATTGACGTATTCCGTAAGGGTGTGTTTGGTTGGGAGAAAATGTTGAGATAGATGGGTAAGTGAGAAGTGGGAATAGAAGGTAACCATGTTTGGTTGAGCCAACTTTCATACTTACCTACCTAAATCACTATCCTACCATTCTCCGTTGCATATCTATTTTCATCAATTTAGCCGGCGAAACTTTCCCTTTCATCACGTGGTATTGCTGAAAAACAGCCTATTTGCTGACATTGTGGTTTAACCAAAAGACCAGCATACCCTCTCTTAGCGCGCGAAAGGAAAATATCGGACCAAATCTATTTGCTTTCGTTGTTAGAGTTGTCACTGCTCAAAGACCAACACTTGCACAGAGGCACACAGACGATGGTTGCTATGAAGGAAGAAGAATATTTTTCCCCATCTATATTTAACCAAAAGCCAAACATAGACTTTACAAAAGTTACCTAATTTTTCCGGTAAAATTTTTCTCAACCAAACAACTATTTTTACATTTTTCTACCAAACTCACTTCTCAACCATTTTCCTACTAATCACATTTCCCTATGATTCATAAAAACTTCTCTTCAACCAAACGCCCCCTAATACTTCCTCTCCATGAGAATATAGCAGCTTTGAATCTAGTAATGGTCACAAAGGCATGTTCAGATTTCAAAGTGAGGATAATTTACTTTCCTTCCTTTCCTCTTCTCAAGGAATTTCAGAAGTTAATCTCTCCTTGGGGTCTCACATTTGAACCAAAAACCAGGGGTCCGAGTTGGGGGCTTCCGGGGCTGTATTTGATTGAGACACCTTGACCATGTTCAAATTTTCAGTAGCAAAGGCAGCATTAAAGGGGCATTAGTCGTTGACAGAATTACCAAAGCCTTGCTTGGTAGCTAACTCCATGACCTCTGCGCCTTCTCCAGAGGAAAATCCAGTTTCACTTCCTCCAGAGCATATGCATACACATTGCTTGGCTTCATGACTCACCTCGTTCATTCGAAGGCAACAGAGGTGAGTCATGTGTAAAATAATTTGTTGAGTTGTGTCCCTTTTGAAAATTATCCGATTTGAAAATTTGGTGAACATCTCATTGAATTGATTGGCTACTGTTTGAATTGCATCTTTTAATTTTCCCAATCACTCGACAATGCTTGTGCCTTGATACCAAGCTCTTATGAAGCTCTGCTCATTCATTCCAATCCCATAAGAAGTTACCTTACTTTTCTAAAATGCAATAAAATAACTCTTCATTAAATCCTGAGTAACGAGTATAAGGTGATCACAATTCTTGTACACAGCATTACCCTTATATATTTACAAAGAGATTATTTCTTGGATTCGAACTCATAACTTTTCAGTCACAAAAAAGTAATTCTGCCACTGCTACAACCTTGCCCTCTTTACTTTCCCAAAGTGCAATGATCCACAAAGTAGAAACGGAAATGCAATTACAATTGATGAAATTACCCAAGACACCAAGCAATCTGGATTTTGGAAGGTGATTAATTTCATTAAAAGGATTAAGGATACCAGAGGTCAGCAAAGGTAGTAGTCCATTATGTTAACCCAAAATCTAGAATGTCTCCATCAAAAATCAATCTTTTATGAGGAGACAATTCCTATTAAAGGTTAACTCTAACCAGGTATCAATCCTAATCCTATTAAGTTACAAGAGGATATGAGCAAGCCCAAATACAACAAGGAGAATTATCTCTCCTCAGCCAATAAATAGGGGGGTAGCCCCCAGAATTGTCTTGCAGGACCTCAGCTAATTTGGATGGGAACAATAACCATTCAACATTTAAAACCCATTCAAACATAACACCTAAATCATAGTTTTATCATTATCTGGAAAAAAAACAAGGAAAAAAAATCACAACTATGAAACCTATAAAAACCACTCTCTATAAAATGCTAACTTGCACCGGTAGGGGTGAGTGAAATCCTTGTACGCAGCCTTATTTTTACAATTTTGTAAAGAGACTGTTTCTTAGATTTAAACCCCATGACCTTTCGATCACAAGGGAGTAGTTTTACCACTGCTCTAGACTTTCCCTCATCAGAACAATGAAACCTATGTACAAACAATTTTCCAGTGCACATAAACTTAATTGTGTCAAATAACATAAATTGGTAAACAAACAAGATAGCAGTTAGAAAGAAAATACAAAAAAAGAAAGTTGCACTATAAAAGTGTGACCGGAATGAAAATAAGAGCAGCAAAAAAAGAGTACCTGAGGGCAACAAATATTTTACAGTGGAACATCATGAAATTTAAATCAAAACTATTATCCTAACAGTTGATGTATTCATTTTACTAGTGTTGCCAATAGTATTGCGCTAAGAAAAACAATATTTTATTTTATACTTTTATTTTTGCATAAAAATTCCCAATTCTTATGCCTTATGAATGTTGGGCTTGGGACTGTTTAATTGTCTAATCCACACCCTAAAATCTAGCCAGTACCAATCGAGCTTGTTGGTCTAGTTTGTTTTCCTTTTATAAAACACAGCTCAGCAAAGAAATAGAAGCAGCAAGGATAATGATTAAATAGATAAATTGTAAAGAACTAATTTAACTCAAAAGCTTAAGCTATTAGGTGAAGGTCTTTTCAATGGTTTATATTATTTTCCAACACGTCCCCTCACACGAAAACTCACTGAGCTTGAAGGGTGGATAATGCACACGCCCATCTACCTGTGCTAAAAAATCCATGAGACTTACTTAATTATTAATTAAATGAGGGCAGTGAGGATCGAACCCGTGAACACTTAGTCACGTTTGCTCTGATACCATGTAAAGAACTAATTCAACCTAAAAGCTTAAGCTATTAAGTGAAGTTTTTTTCCATGATTTATATTATTCTCTAACATAAAGCATATATTAAAGATGATATTAAACACCATACTAGGAAAATTCAAAAAGCATTGTCCAGAAAAAATAATGGTAAAAAATGATAAAGAATATGTGAAGTTAATGAAGCTTTATTAGGATTGCTGGCATGAAGGAAAGCAAAATTTTCATCTAATTAGGCACGAGTGAACGCGATGCTCCATAATCCGTCACAATTGTTTAATAAGATTATCCAGCATTGCAATGTTAAGGCAAAAATAAGAGGAGGAAGCACCTTCAATAAGAAACTTCAATTCCATTTCTGCTCCTTCATTCCAGCAAACTATGAAAAGTGTTATCTAATTGCAGTAAGTTTAACCCTCCTATGAAATAATACGCTCCTTCATTCCACTTTTTTATTTTGCCTTACATTTTCAATATGCCATGATCCAGAAGAAAAGAAATGGAAGAGCGATTTCAATACATGAAACCATGGAATAATCTATATTCTGAAAGGTTCTTAATTTCATTCAAATGATGTTTTGAAGACAACCATCCAATATTTAAAAACCATTCATACAAACACCTAAAATCCAAGTTTTTCATTAATACGGAGGAAAACAGGAGAAAAAGAAAAGGAAAACACACACACACACACACACACACACAAGCAACAGTACCACAAGAATAATGGCAGCAACGCAAAATTAGTTCTCCATTACATATGACCTTGATTCTATAACAATTCCAAATAAAGTACAAGAGGAAAAAAATTGCATTGGTCAATGGGATGATGAAGGCTATAATAAATTAGAGAAAGAGTGATGAAAATGAAAAATAACAGCAAGAACATTACAGCTATGCAAAATTAATCAATTCTCCATCATATATGAACATCATTAAAAAAAACTACATTACTTGTAAACAAAAATCAAATAAAAATTCTAAACCACATATATAAACACAATATGAAAGAAAAAAAAAATGTATGTTGCATTATACATGAAGAAGGCCAGAATCAATTCTAAAATACCCACAAGAAAAGTAGCAGAGCTATGCACAATTAATATTCCATTACATATGAACATCATCATATCAAACAACATAAGTGGTAAACAAAATCAAATTACAATCCTAACCCACAATTATCCAATGATGATGATGATGATGATGATGATGATGATGATGATGATGATGATGATGATGATGGCCAATAATCAATTCAGAGAAGGGTGATGAGAATGAAAAGAAGAAGAGCAGCAATGAAAGAGTACTTGAGTGCAGCAACAAGAATAGCCAATGAGATAAACAAGAGTTGCCAGAGGACTTGAACACTTGCCCATGTGAGAAGACCCGTTAATCCCAGTGCAAGAACATTATCAGGATCAGGGTCCAAAAGGGTATTCAAATTGAAATTGAAAATGGGTCGTCTTTGTTTGCTTGAATTATTTGCATCTTCTTCTCCATTTGAACCAGTGGGTGGTTGTTCTTGTGTTTTTTCCTGTTCCCTCATCTCATTGTTGTTGTTGTTGTTGTTGTTGTTCACAGCAAACACCAAAAGTGGTTGTGGTTGTGGGGAGATTAAAAATTGGGGTTTGAGGGTATGGGAAGAAGGGAATAGGAACAAGTGTGGAGGGTGAGAAGGAAACGGGGTTTGAACTGTGAGGGGGGTTCTTCTCAAGAGGGGTGTGACTGTGAACCCTACCATGGTATTGCTATTGTTCTTGCATCGAAAATGAAGGGACATGCCAATATAAAACAGAAAGTGTAAATATCCTTTTCTCCTCGTCAAATTTCACGTCTGATATTATTTGTGATATCTGAAAAATTTAAAATGAATTTATTTAATTGAAAATAGAGGTATAAATAGACTAGGCCTACAGGAGCTTATGGCCTAGCCTATTTAAGTTAGACTTGACCTATTACAAAAAGTAAAATAGAGTAAACCTAGGCTTTTAAAAAAATCTATTTAAAAAACATGCCATAAGTTTTTTTTGTACATATCGGGCCTATAAGCTTACAGGCCGACTTATATTATATTATTTATTTTAAACAAAATAAATAAAATTATTATTTTAATAATTTTGAATAATAAAGTAATATTATTTTAGTTATTTTTTTAATTGTTGAATATTTAGTAGGCTTAAACAGGTCAACAGGTTAAGCCAAAACTTTTATTTTTTAAACATAGGTCAGGCAAGACTTGTAATTTGAGGTACACAGGCTAATAGGCCAGACCAAACCTAATATTTTCACACAGGTCTGGCCTATTTAAGCCAAAGTCTAACCTAGCCTAGTCTATTTACACTCCTAGTTGAAAATGTTATCCCTCACAAATTTAAAAAAGACATATTAATTTCTCAAAAGGACTAAAATGGATCCACTTTAAATTTCTTAAAAATCACGAATAATCTTTTTATTTATTAGGAACTAAAGCGAATATCGTGAGATTTGTTGCGGACCAACAAGATTATTTACTCAAACAAGAAAGAGGAAAGAATTTTAAAGGCAAAGAAATAAAGATGAAAATTGGAAAGTGAAAAACGATTGCCCACAAGTCGGACATGCTAGTAAAGCTTACTCTGCATAATTGTCATGATTAGGAGCTTGTTTGATATTTTTTAAAGTTAAATATTACCTTAGAGTTAAAGTTAAAAAAAAAAAAAACTTAACAAATAAAGTTAAAAGTTATTTAGTGATTGTATAAAGGAAAAAATATTTCTGTTTTATTTCAAAAAATATTTTTTGCCCCATTCATTTTTATGTAAATATGATAGAAATTTTTTCCACAGGAAAAGACAGAAACATTAAAGCTTTATATAAATTTTTTCATAATTTTGAAGAAGGAAAGATCAAATAATTTGATCTTAGAATAAATTATTAGATAAAGAATAAAATTAATAAATATAAATTTAGAATAAGGGTAAAATTGAAAAATTAATATGAGAATTTTGGAAAATTAATATATATCTTAAAAAAAACTCCTCTTCTAGCTTTTAATTTTTTTCTTTTTTTATTTATTATAACAAAAATTATTTTTATTACAAAAGTTTTTATAAAATATGCATATTTGATTAAGTTTATGCTTATAAGAAGATGAAAAGGTAAAAATAAGACTTGGCTAAAATTAAGAGAGCTTTCACCTTTTTTGGTACATTAGGTGTAGGTTGGATTTGACGTTAAACGATAAAATGAATCTTTTTAACATATGAAGACAATTATAATATATTATTATATATTATCAATGCTCATATATTTTTGCCAATACCACTGATTAAAATAATTATTGATATTTTTAAAATTAATATAATTTAATAATTACTGAAAAATTATATATTCTTATTGATCTCTTACTAAATAACACTCTTCATTTATATAACATTTTTTTTGGTATCCTAACATTTATTTTTATCTTTATCGACTTTGTTTATTTTCCTTGCCAAAAATAAATAAATAAATATATATATATATATATATATATATATATATATATATATATATATATATATATATCTACATATTATTTGCATATAAATAAAAAAAATAAAAAATAAAGCCAAAGATTAATACAAACTGATCATATTGTGCAGAAAGATGACTCTGTTACATCTTTTAGAACGAAGCCACTACATATTTGTTAGCAAATGCCATATCTACATATTTGTAGGCAGTGCTTGGAATAGTCTCCTATTCGATGAGAATCTAAATACATTCGCTGAGATATTTCTATGCTAACATATTTCTATCCTAACGTTAATATTGTCACTATACAACCATGAAGCACTAGCTCATTTTACTACATTCGGTCCTCTATCACACAAGACCACTTTCAAATAAACTTGTCACGACAAATTTAGAATTATCCAACCACTTAATTGCTCATGCATCCATCTTCACTGCTTTGACAACATTACTATAATAACAAATATCAACCTCGAATGATGGTCAATTATGGAATTATTTCTTAATTTTCATATTTATTTAATCAATTTTTTAAATTAACGGTGCGGGTCTTACAATAAATCTTGATGAAAATGAAGAAAAGAAAAAATGAGTTACACAACGAAAAGAAGCAAACACTGTCTAGAGATTCTTGTTGCCATGTTCATCTAGAGTAGCCTTACATACTTCTCCTTTTCTTATGGCGAACTGAGGATATGGTGTTTGGCTTTTTCGTTTTCTTGTTACTGCTTTTGCCAGCATCATCTACTAACTAAAAAAAAAACGAAGTAGAAGGAGACAAAAAAAAATACTCTGAGATGAATTGTTAAGTGGTGAAAAGGTAAATGAAAGAGATGAAATGAAGTTTTTTTAAAAAAAGTAAGGAGATGAAACGAAAGAAATGAACAGCCTGGTATAGAAGAGATGAAATGAAAAGTGTGAAATAAAGTGGACAATTAATGGCGTTGGAAAACGAAGAGACAGATAAGGCTGCATTGGAGAGAGTTTCGAGAAAGGGATTTCAAAAAAGTAATTAAGTGGTTCAGAAGAATATAAATAAGTGAAAAGAAGTATAATTTTATTAATATATTTTTAAAAGTTTGAATTTTAAAAATTATTTTTAGATTATCCTAATACAGAATTATTAACATATAATTTTTTTATTTCTTTTACAATATATTATATGTAGTTATCACATATGATGTTTTTTATTCACACGAAAATATATATGTTTGCATCCCTGTATAATATATTTTTATATATATGTGTATACTTTTATGTATTTATTATAAAATATAAGTTTTTATGTATCAAGCTGGGTCATGCAGTTTAACCTGCGACCCACTGGTTGAACCAGTGACCCAGTAACCCACTACACCGGCCGGTTCAATCACCGGGCCGGGTTTGATAACATTGACATGAATTGTTGACCCTAACCCCTAGAGAGAAAGGTCAGTGACCCAATGGGGTCAACCCCGGGATGAGACTAGATGTTATAACACTGGTATGGAGTGATATGTGACTTAATGCACATTCCCAGGATGCGTGATTTAACATACATTACAAAATGAATAGTTTTGAAATTTGCACTAAAAAAGTCAAAAGGCTAATATTTTATATCTAATCCAATACCAAGCTAACTGAACTAACATTGTAGGGAAAGAGAGCAGCTTACCATAACAAAATTTTATTATGGTGATTTCCAAAAAAAATAAAATAAAATAAATAAAATAAAATAATTATGGTGAATAATAAGAGATAAAAAAATTGTGAAAAAAGATGAATGGAAGAAAATTGGAAATGACCTGGAGGAGCTTGGGGAGCAGGGACGTGTACCCTACACATCTCAGCAAGTTGTTCACTGAGGGTTGCGTAAGCCGCAATTTGTATCCTCAGAGTCTCCATTTGTTCTTCAGACATGTAGACATTTGCGCCCATAGTTTCTGCGTTCGTGTTGGGCTTCCAATGCTCATTAGGCAATCCTTGGTGTTCGATATCCCTTCAATATTTTAAATTTTTTATTAGAAAAAAGAAAACACTGATCATGAAAAAATATGAATGAAAATTATGAACGAAGTTAAAATTAACAGAGAATAAACCTTCTTTCCGGGGGGCTTCTGTTAGCACTTAGCAGCAACTAGATGCTGTGTTCGCTAAGTACCCGGTGGTGAAAGAATTTGAAAGTCAAATTAACTGAAAATACAAATTAGTTTTACAGTTGAAAATGTTGATATCCTTTCCTTTGATTGCTTTTATTGTGAGGTCAAATTTGAAAGTCAAATTTAATTATATGATTATATGATTATATGAAAGTCAAATTTGAAAGTCAAATTTAATTATATGATTGTATAATTTTTTTGTCCTTTCATTATTTGATTGTCTTATGATCAAACTTGATTATGAGAAATTAAACTTAATTATAAAAATGACTGAGTCTAATTGTATAATTTTTTCCCTTTCTTAGTTTAATTGTCTTTTGGTCTAACTTAATCATAGAAGTTCAAACGTAATTATAAAAGTGATTTGGTATGAATGTATGGTTATAAATGTGAATGATTCTGTAAATTTCTTTCTTATAATATTATTTATATAATGATAAATCTAATATGAATGGAAAAAAAAGCCCTTCATTCATTGTAACAATTTGATGACAATATACTTAGCTTGAAGAAAAAATTGGCATAAATTAATTTTTTGAGGGAGAGAGAGTCCACCATAGTAGAGAGCCCAGTAGAGAGCCCCTCGAGGATCACTGGCATTGTAGCATGGGCCTGGCTCACCCCACCCATCCAAACTTAATTCTAGTAGTTGTTGGGTTTTTTGACCACTGTAGTCCTTTATTAATAATTATTTACCAAATTATCCTCGATTAGAAAATATTTCAAAAAATTAACCCTTCCAAAAAACATAACATCAATCTGCCCCTGTTTGATCGTTGACCACGAAACTTACCTGGGTATCCCTTCCATACCCGGGTATTTTTTTAAAAAATCAACCCTACCCGGGTATGGAGGGGGATACCTAAGTAGATTTCGGCCAGAAACCCAAATATCAAGGGTTTCGGCCATTGTTGCGACTTAGGGTTCCCCCCCCAAATCTATTTCCTTTGACATCTCTATTCCGAAACATCACACATATATTTCATCTCCTCATCTCAAAAAGCTTAATCTTGGTAGGACATTGGCATTACACCTCCACATTCCCATTTTGTGTTACAAAATCTGAACCAAGATCCAAACCCAAAACCTAGACCCAAATTTTCGTGTGAAAGATGAGTTCAAGTCCTAACATGGTTCCTATAGTTATTTACTACAATGAGAGACATTTTGAAGGTCTGAACA